CTCTCTCTCTCTCTCTCTCTCTCTCTCTCTCTCTCTCTCTCTCTCTCTCTCTCTCTCTCTCTCTCTCTCTCTCTCTCTCTCTCTCTCATGGTTGCGTGACTGGCTATGGCAGTTCATGCATGCCTGGCACGGATGTTCGAAGTACAACATACATGCCCCTCCCATCTCCTACTGCAACACCCTCATTCCCAAACGATGTCAATGTCCAAGTGGTACCCAGGACGGGCCTTCTAGGTCAAGCACCTACTGAGGAAGTGGCAATCAAGGAAGTCTCTCTTGTTGGTTCCCTCCTTCTGTCTCTACTCTTTCCTTCCACTTACCTCCACAGCCCAGCTTCAGGTCTTTCTCCCTCTACCTCCATAGCCCAAGCCTCCTACTGCTTGTCCTTCATAGCCATGGAGGTCTTCTTCCTCACCCTCAACTCCTTCATCATCACAGTGCTCCTCCTCACTCTCCCTCAGGCTCGACCAGCAGAATGACCACAGCAAAGCCTACTCAGATTCGGAAATCTCGGCAATCAGATAAGAATGACAGCATGTCCTCCTGGACATCGGTTAAAATTGGAACAATATAGATAAGATTAGCATGACCCCTGCGCAAGGATGCCACGCATAAATTGAGAAATCCTCCAGATTCACAAAAAGATAAGAATCGCTAATTTCCCAGCCTGGATTGCTTCTCTTCTTCTTGACTGATTATTGCTTCCTTCTGTCCTTCCTTTGGGGAACGCGTCTATTGCTTTTCCCCTGTGCACTAATTATATCCTGATTGTTCCATTATTGAACCTCCCCCGAGTGCCTCCCCTATTCCTCCGAGTCGTCAGTGCACTGATTTATGTTATCCCATTCCTCGAACTTAAACCACCAGTACCTCCATGTTCTTAGGCCATTAACGCGGCGGCTGAATCGGTGTGCCGCACGGGTCCATATGCATTTGCGACAGAGCCTCCCCAGAGGGGGGATAAGACCCCTAGGGTACTGGTGGTTTAAGGTACCGGCTTCTAATTTTTGCTATTCTCTTTCCTAATAACCATTCCTCCTCAAAGGTTTTCCGGCTGTTCTCTCTTTTTTGGGGGATCTGTTAGTTTTTCCTGCTTCCTTATTTCCCTTTTCCACACTGTGCTCTGACTTCTATCTCTACGATTTCAATTCGTCTCTTTCCATGCCTCTTCGCCTGTTGTCACCTGATTACCAATTGTTCCTTTGCATCTAGATCTCCATATAGCCAACCCATAAGGCTGCTCTTCTGAATAGATTCACTATGATATTTTCTTCCTCTTCCATATTTCCTTCGCTGAATCTTCCCGAAAGTAGGAAGTTCGCTTGCGATGGGAATGGAGTAGGAGAGATATTAGACCAGGCTGTCTTGACTGCTACCCATAAAGTGTTGGCGTGTGGGCATTGTATTGGGCAGTGAATGAGGGATTCGACTTTGTTATCATTACCGTGATTACACATTTTGCAGAGAGAGGATTGTTCTGCTCTTTGATCAGCCTTCCTTCGCAGGTCTAACCATTTGTTAACAGGGACTGCCCAATATAGAATCAGCCATTGTATGCTTCTGAATCTAGTGGGTTTTATGCTGCTATAGTAGTCCCCACCCCAGGGGATTTGTGTGAGTCAAATCTCCAGACACAGACCGTAACAGAAATATACACAAGTTCGCTTGGACAAGCAGGGAGGAAAAGGTGAAAAGCCCGGGTAGGGAAAGGGAGAGGGTTTAGACCACAAGTACACGGCCCCAGCCTTGCAGTACAAGAAAACGAGGCTGAAACGTCAAACGCTGCGCCCGCCGTTGATAAAGTCAATTGGCGGTCGCGTTTTCGTTTCGCACCTCCAGAATTTGAGGTGTCAGGCCCGCGGCCCAGGTGCCCATATACTGGTGCTTTAAGGTTCAGGGTTTAGGGCTAGCACAAGAAGTATAGAAGCCAGTGAATTTGAAGATTATGCAAGCTACGCAGAGAAGGGCTAATAGGTTTCTCACCAAGTCGCCAGGCGAACAGTTCCAGTACTTAAAGCAAAACTGACAGCCCAGACGCTGAGAGGAACAGGCGCTCTAATGTACTCTATACTGAGTCTATAGAACCATAAATCGGTTTGCAGATCTTCAGAGCTTCTTAGCTTGGCCGAACTGTAAAGCTGCTTTCAACCAATCTCTTCTGTACATTATAGAACCCTAAATCTGTTCGCACTGGCCGAACTTCAGAGTTGCTTAGCCTGGCCGAACTTCGCAGACACAGAGGAAGTCAGTCTAGCATCCATCACCAGCAGTATAATAGCAAGCTAACTTAGGCAGGGGTGAGGGGTGGTACATGCTTCCTAAGGGGGGTAATAAATGGGGTCCACTCGGGCCTCTCAACCGTAATGGGGAGGAGCGGGTGTGAGTTGCTGTTGTAGTTGCTTATGACTTGCCGGTGGAATAGGAACCGGACAGATGTTCCCCAGAATGGATATGGAGCCAGGACCGTAAGGTCCTGGCTGGTTTTCTTTTTCTTTTTTTGTTTAAAAAAAAAGAAAAAAGAAAGATAAGAATGAAGCATTTTCTCAGAGAAGTGCAGATTTCTCAGACTGCAACGGTGGAGGTAAATGCAATAGTACGTGGTGAACCTGATGCCTGCTGCATTGACTTGTTGCCTTTTTCTTTAAAATTTTAAGTGAAGGGGTGTACCCCTAACATTATTGTATGTATCTTGTTCCATCATGATTTGAATTCATGATCTGTTGAGCACTATGTAGCGACATGTCCGTCGTACCATTCACACACGTGGGCTTGGTTATCTGCTGTGATCGTCTGATGCGAAGCATGGCCAGGTCCTGAGAAGACCAAAGAAAATGAAGAAGAGAGGTACAGGACTGATTATCGGAGTGTTGCCAAGGAGGAAACTCCGAAAGATATGATTGCGCTCACCGTTTTGCTGTTCTGTTTCTATTTTCAGCTATTTTATTCTTCATGGATGCTTCACGTGAATCGCTTACTAATTACAACCAGGGTTCGGAAAACCTTTGTGGTTCTTCAGGCGCTTGCATGGATACGTAAAAGATATGGAATGGATTGACATCATCAGATTCATGTACGCCAGCGAGGAAAGTGGCATGTTGATTCACAGAGTCGACAAAGCGGAAAGACAGACTGCCGCAGTGAAGTTGAAGGCCAATGTGGATTGCATACATGCCAGGTTCAGTTCTAGAAACACTACTACGAGACCAGGCAAAGTTGCAAAGCAGCGGCCGTCATCCAAGGGGAAAGTTCACTTCAGAACATTCCTCCAGGTAACAGTCAAACAAACAGCTTAGTGCTGCGTATGGCTTTCCTTTTTGCTCCATTGTTCTGGCCACTCCTTTGCTCCTGCCTTGGATTCCTTTGTTTTTTTGTTTTTTCAACTTTTTGTTTTTTTAAAGCACTAGTACCTTTGTCGGTTCGGAAAATAGTGGGCCTCCGACCTTTCAGGAGGCCAAAATGAAACGCATGCCACCGATCAGATTTATCAACGGCAGCCGTTGTCGGGCCCGCCCTCCTAAAAATTCGGGACTAGGCTAAAACTTGTCGAAACCGGACGGCAAAGGTACTAGTGGTTTAAGACAAAAAAAGACAGGACCTTATGGTCCTGGGTCTTTGCCATGCTGGGTCCGCCCAGTTACTTGTCCACCGGCAAGTCAGAAAAGATTACATAGATAACCTCACACGACGCTTCCTTCCGTCAGGACCAGAGGAACCCCTGCACAGCGTTCATCGCTCCTTGAAGGTAGGATTGACTGCCAGGCTTGCCTTAACATTGCCTCTATTCCTAGCTGACCATCTGCAAATGAACCATCAGATTCTAAGTTTTCCCAAGAATGTCTGCAAGCAATTCAGCCCTAGTAGATGGATGGTTGTGTGGAGTGCAATGCTTGAATGAGTGCATGGTTGATCGTGCTGTTGAGTCGCTCTTTCTGTGTTAATTCTCTGTTATTGTTCTTCCTCAGCTAGCTCGCCAAGTTGTTTCGTATATTTGCAGACGAACGGTGATCCTTTTGAAGTCCGAATGTTAGGATGGATGCATTTGGTGTAGATTAGGCTAGGATATACTCATAAGGGTGACGATGGCACCTTGTTAGAGTTGGATGTGGGCCGGAAGAAGGACCTACGCTACTTGCCATCCCGGCTTCTCACCGAACTCCCGAAAAGGACCGCAGCCACTGGAGCCTGGACAATCCACTCCGTGCCCCGTGTCAGTGCCCCGTGCAGGTAGCAACTGTTCTAAGGGGATGGGGGGCAAACCACAATAGAGCGGGCTAGGTGATGAAGAAGGACTCACTGACATTCATTGTGGGGGAGATTCTCCTATGAGTAGTGTGCAGGTAGTATTGGGCTAGTTCTCAGGGCTTCTTTTGAGTATGATGGATGGTGTCCCATGGTTGATCTCCAGTCTGGAATTTACTTACCCCAATCATCTCTCTAATATTTTTAACACTGATGCGTGATCTAACCACTGCTAGCTTGACGGGGTCGCGATCTGCCAAGCTAGCTGTTTTGGCTTCCAACTTCCAAGGCCTTCTCTCAAAGGTGGACCGGTAGAGTGTGCCAAAATTAGTCAATGGCATGCCTGTGCGTAAAGGTAGCTGTACTGGTAATTGACGCTTGATTATCGATCTCGCCTGCCATGTCATGCATCGGCCGTTAGCAGCACTCTGATCCATAGAGTCATTTGTAAAGTATCTAGTGCGCTCATCAGTACAGTTCAGCGTTGAAACCTTGGAACTCGGTATTCGCTGTTGGCCGTAAATTTTTACAGAGAAGAGATCCATGACATAGCCTCACATAGGTACTTGTGAATATTCTTGACATTTGCTGCCCTGCTATTCTTTCAATTTGGGAAAGTTGAGTCCTGATCTACGGTAGTTTGGACAAGTTGAACAACTTCACTGTAACGGAGTGCTTCTGAGTCCTGACCACTGTTTAGGCCTCTTCCTACTTCAGGTTCCAACTCACGGGTTCTTTCAAGCCTTTCAGTTTTAGGCTTTGCGATTTTCATTTGTGAGAAATAAGCCCTTGCAAGGCCTTTTTGCCCATCGGGGCCCCCAGCAAGCCTCGTGCCCGCCCTGAGTGAAGGCAGGCCTGCATTACAACTTGGGGCCTTATTTTTGTCATTTCTGCATTTGGGGGCGCCAGACAGTTACCTCGCGCCAGTTGGTTACAAGGCCCACGCCAGTGTGATCACAGCATTGTGAGCCCTCTGGGCTCTTCCATGCAGCGACGTGGCCTCAGGCCTTTTGGCCAATAGGAATGCAGCGTGTGATGCTGGCCATGTCACACAGTTGGGTCGCTTAACGGTTGGGCCCAGGCCACTATCTGCATTGGGCCTGGGCGCAGACACTTTGGCCCGGAGCCAAGCTACTGGGAACGCGGCCTCCAGGCCCAGGCTGCGGAAGCAGGGCAACTCTTTCCATATAAGAAAGTGCCGTGCCCTGGGAGGCCCATTCTGGCATTGCACGAGCTCGCGCCCACGCTGCTAGTTTGCAGCGCTGAGGCTGCTGGAGGAAGTGCTGCCAGTGCGCACACGGGCGCATTGTGGTGTGCGGCACTGCTGGAGCAGCAGGCGCTGGGCGCCACAGCCGGGCTCACTCAGCCGTGATGCTGGTGATGGTGATGGTGGTCTCCGGGTAGGCTGAGGACACAGTGGGAGGAGAAGGTGATCAGGAGAGAGAGATGAGAGACACGTACCCGATGTATGCGGCAGTCTGCATGGGCGACTTCATCACGTGCGTTGGTCTGCGGCTGGAAGTGATTCTTGGTTGCATGTCGTAGTTCTGAGTAGAGGTAGGCTGGGCGCTGAGCGCCAATCAAGAAGGACAACATTGGATACATTGTTGATGGTGGCGAGAAGAGGCTGACACTGACATCTGAGTTCATTGTATTGCTCTTATTTGGCTTGTATCTCCGTGCATTGTGCTTTCTACCTGGGACACGACTATCTGGCCTTCAACGTGATATTGCAATTTGGTTTTCTGTCTATCACTCTCACTGATTTTCCTTGCACATTTGGCAGCTGACAGTTCAAGGAGGGGTCTAACCAAGGGGCAGTTTTTGTTTTATAATGAAAAAAACATTCAGCAAGTAAAAGGATGAAATGAAATCTTTTGGAGAATATTTGAGATTGGGGTGAAGTTGGGTAAGGGCCCTAGGAGATGGAGCGGTCCGCTGGTGCCCCCCAGCGCCCCTCTTGGTATCACAGCCTATGCCCTGCTTTGTGATGTGGGAAACTGGACCCGCTTTCCTGCCTGACGCTTCTTCTCAAGGGACACTGAACCCAGTTTCCAGCATTCTTTTTTTTTTCCTGTTGATTTTCGTATCGTGATCAGCCTAAGCTGGGGTAATGACAGTGGATGTTGATGTATTTCTGAGTTTTTCCAAAGGGACGCTAGGCCCGGTTCCCAGCACATGCTGCACCCCACAAAAAGATCCAAGCTGTTCAAAAAAGAAAAAGAAAAAAAAAGAGATTGGGGGGAAGTTGTAGAGTGATCCAAAAAGCTTGAGGGCTTGGGTAATCATCCCCCCAACTATCCACATGGTTGAATAAATACCTCCCACCTCCCTGCTCTATTGTCGCAAGCATCCAATATCTATCAGCACGATTTGAGTTCTCTCCTTGTTGGTTATAAGCCGGCCAATCTGAAGAATTTACTGAAAACAGCTTTGATGTTCACTGTGATCTGCAATTGCAGGTTCTTTTACGTCATCAACTGGAGGAACGAGTCAAATTGTTAAAAGAGTTTCGGATTCTGTTCTATAAACATGACTACCTGAGAGCTGGTCGCCTGACTCGTAACCAATTTGCAGGCTTATATCGCGACCTGAAGAACAACACTAAAGCAGAAGGGGGCAAAAACATATCACAAATGGATGTTCCTGATGGCGTTGTAATCCCTCACATGGATGCAACATTTTCGGATTGCGTACAGTTTTTCATGCAAGATATTCGGAGAATTGCAGCCACTCACAAAGAATAACCCCAGTCATGAAAAGGACGCCGCTGTTTACTAATCTTCACATGTACAAACGACCGACTGTCCGCATGTCATTTAGACACAAGTGGTTACCAGGGACCCCCACTTAAAGGAGGGAAAGAAAAGAAACAGATCACCTGTCTCATGCTTTCAACGAGCATGAGAGTGAGTAGGTGACTGAGAGTGGGTGAGTGGAAGTGGGTGATTGAGTGTGGATGAGTCGGGGGTGAGTAAGCAAGAGTGAGTGACCGAGAGTTCGGGTGATGAGATAGTCCACAGGTCACTTCTGCCCAAGGTTGTGATACTGATGGAAGAACGATAATGCCATGTGGAAAACGCTTGGACATTATGCACAAATCAGCAGAGACATTTGGTGGCATCTCCTGCAAAGACTTTTCTCCTGCAATTCAAAAGGCGTCTCTGACGACAGCTTGCCGTTTAATCCTCTATATGGCACACTCCCCTTGGTCTCATCCAAACATGAGTCTGCCATAGGTTTGAAGAAGATGGTCATTCCATGAACAAACATGACACACTGACCTGAAGGCCTAATGTGATTGACATTAGCTCCCGAGTTAGGGTCCCTAATTCTCCCATATGCTAGTGTGACAGTGCAGACAGGGACCACAGTCTTCACCACAGTAGACTTCTGACTTCGGGAATGTTGAAGATAGGACGAGTCATTCCCAACTTGTTCAAGAATGCTTTGAGTATGTGCATATGGACCCACTAATGTCGCACGAGAGCAAACCACAACATTTGTGTGTCATAAGCAATCACAACGGTTGCATAATCCACTCCAAGCATATCGCCTGAGGTATACTGACCTCCACCCAAAAAGGATTTTTGAAATATATATGCGTTCTGCTGCAACATCATGACACCCAACCGCCTCTTCTTCTCAATGCATGATTGACAGCAACATGTTGAGTGGTCACCAATGCTCGCCCGAAAACAGGGCCATTGTGTCATGGGTTGGCAAGCACAACACCGCCCCACCCCCCCCCCAGCTCAACATGAGGTATGGAGACCTCCCCGACACTGGTGCCACTTTTGTCGCACCGGGTGTCGGATGATATTCGATGGAGGTCAAATGCCTCATGCTGAGTTAAGCGCAGGATCCCATTTTCGTCCCTTGTCACCCGAGGACACTTTTGCCTTGTTGTCCAGGGTGTGTGGACTGCCGCTCAACATGTGATTACAAATCGCACATTGAGAGGAACAAGTGGTTGTGCGCAGGATGTGCAATGGCGCCACCTCAATAGTGGGACTACACATTTCAAGAGCCTTCTTGTCTTCTCAGTTCGTGTTTACTCGATACAAATGCGAGTGGGAGTTGTTCTCAAAACATGCAGTCCAGGGATTTGTTGAGTAGTTTACTACGGTAGTTTTCCATCCCGCTCAAGGGTTGGATCATGTGACCCTCCAATGTCAGCAATGATACTAAGGTACACCATGCTAAACGGGTGATTTTATACTTTGTGTGAAATGTGCATGATGTTCGTATGCATGTGTGGGTTTCGGGAGAGGGGAATACCTACCTCTCTCCATGAGGCCATAGAGCATCATTGTCGACTTAGGGGAAAGAGTCTGAGGAGGAGAACATGGACTAAGGAGGGTGAGGGGAAGCATTTGTTGGTCGCTAGAGTGCCTGCACTTGGTTTGCTCATAACAACATGTGTGTCAGATGAAGGAGAAAAATGTGAGGGCTTAGGAAAAAGAAGGAAATGAAGGGGAAAAGAAAGGAAGACTAGGGAAGAGCAAGAAGAGGCTTAAACCCTTAAACCACCTGTACTTGGCCCAGCTAGCGACCGCGGTGCTTCCCCGTTAACGTGCCGCGCCTTTAGGGCTTCGGGGTACCGGACCACAATGGCTGGAAGCGCCAGCCAAAAACAAAACGAAACGGTACCCCGGCGCTTCGGCAAAAATCGGCGCGCAGGGGCATCCCAGGCTCGGCATCGATAGCTGGGCCAAGTACTGGTGGTTTAATGCAAACTCGAATGGAGGTCAAAAGCAAGAAGTGTGAAGGGGAAGACAAAAGGAAAGGAGGAAGACGAAGGATGAAGGAATTGGAAAAAAAGGGAAAAGGAAAAGTGGCTTGAACCGTAACATGATCGAAAGAAGAATATGGCTGGCGAACAGAATAATTGAGGAGAAGATGAAGGGATGAGGAAAGAAAAGAGAACGAACAAACAAAAGAACAAAGAAGGGGAAGAGAAACTCAACAGATTTGTGACCTTCTTATACCCCTTCAGAAGCAGCAAATCTTAGCCGAAGACGGGTAAAGGCACCGATATCTCAGAAAATGGTCTGTTTTCCTAGACGAAGCCCGGTAATGGCCCCGGTACCTCAAATTTTGTATAAGCTTTCATATGGGATGCTGGGCCTGGTTCGCAGCAAGTGCTGCTCCCCAAGAATGGATTGGAGCCTTTGTCCCCCCAAAAAAAAGAAAAAGAAAGTTCAGACTGTATCATCATCCCATCTTATATATATGGGATGTCTGGCGTGCAGTAGTTGAGGCTTTACGGTCTTAGACTTCCTTCCCTGCTGATTGTCCACACCGACGCATTCATTATTGGATACTCGGCGGAGGTTTCAGCGTACAGCCAGATTTGCCTTTAACATTACTGTGTAAGCGGCCCAGATAAGGCATCCGCCCCAGATAAACTACCCACCATGCAAGGTTCTACCAAACCAATTGTTTTGGGGGAAGAGAAAAAGATGGAGATAAAGAATCTAGCGCTTAAACCCTAAAGGAAGGAGTTGAAGGAAAAATGAATGGATGAGGAAGAAGAAGGAGAGAAGAAAGGAAGAGGAGAACAAAAAAAGAAGAAAACAAGAGGCTTATACCCTGGCATAGCTCAAGTGAGGTGATGGTGAAGAGGGAGGAGGTTGTTAAAGAAGATGAAGGGATAAGGGAAAATACCAACGAGAGGAGAAAGTAGAAGAAAGCGAAAAGGAAGCAAAAGGAGAAGAAGCTTAAACCCTAAATATGAACTCATATGAAGATGTTGATAAAGGAAAGAAAAGTGAGCGTTGAGATGAAGGATGGGGAAGACGAGGGGAAGAAGGAGGAAGAAAAATGGAGTGAGAGAACGCAAGAAGAAGAAGAGAATTGAAAAAACTTAGTTCAAATGGAGAGATGGATAAAGAAAGGAAAAACGGAGGGAAAGGTGGAGGGATGAGGAAGAAAACAGGAACGAGCAATGGTGAAAAGTAAAGAAGACAAGAATGAAGATGAAGTTGAAATGTTAATGCAAAATGAATAAGGGAGAGTAATGAAGGAGAGGATAAAGGGATGAGAAAGAAAAGGGAAACAATGAAGCAAGGGAAGTGGAAACTGAATCAGACGAAGGAAAAAAAAAAAAAAAAGGGAAATCAGCAGTCCATCAGACCTTGTACTGTGGATTTTTCCGTATACGAATACCGTAGCAAAACGTGCATGGATCAGGCAAGGCTTAGGTTCAGAGGGAAAAGGCTGGTCGACCCAAAGGAAAAAGAAAAAAAAAAACGAAACAAAGATTATTGTGATAAGTGGTCAAATACATTATAGAAAGTACTAGTGTGATTATGTCCTCGGTGAGGGTCTTTCCTGAGAATGTGGAAGACGCCTTGACCCGCTGGTCGGGCAGGAAGAAAATAAGGGAAATAACAACAAAGATTCGGCCGTAATAGTGGTCAGATACACTGCAAGTATGCCATCAATGAGGGCCTTCCCTGACATTATTGATCTCAGTTTAGTTATTCTTTTTTTTTTTCACCTTGTCTTTTCCGAACCATCTGTTGCCATAGAGTACAACACTTCATTTTCAAGGTAGACTAAAACCGATGCCTCCCTCGACGAAAACAACGACGTGTACAATAGATTGCAAGCTCGACAGGAAGCATTTCTTGGTTGGTCAATTTAGGGTCCAATAGACTGGTGGCTTAAACCTTGACATAATTCAAATGAATAGATGGATCGTAGGATACCCTTTTTTGAACTTAGAAGACCTTTTGTGTGTGTTTGCTTTTGATGTTCTCTCTCACGTCTTGAATATCACGTTCATAAGATATTGCAAATTCTCTAGTTTTTGGTGGTAACCTTAGCATTTTATCCTTCATTAAGGAGTTGATAGGCCTTCTAGGTTGCCATCCTTGGTGAAGTGCATTAGGAGTTTTCCCGCGACAGTGTGAAATGAGTTAGGAGTTTTCCCGCGACAGTGTGAAATGTGTTAGGAGTTTTCCCGCGACAGTGTGAAATCAGTTAGTATGTGCACTTGCTATCTTAGGAAGGTTTTTATCCTAGTTAATCGCATTAGGTCTTTTGAACATTTTCAAAAGTTGTTTGCAAAATTTATAGTCTGATCATTAGTTTCAGGATATCCTGAAGATATGATTGGTTGAGTACCATAGACGTCAATCAACTTTTGCATTGTTGTCCTGTAAATCCGTCATCTTGGTCGACAACAGTTGTCTTTGGGAACCCAAAATCTAACACCCAACTTATCTTAAATTTATCGATGAATGTTTCTGCTTTGGCCTCGACAGACAATGAGATGAACAATGCATATTAAGAAAAACTTATCCATCATGATCATTACCTGACTAGTCTCATTTCGGCTCTTAAAAAGACTCGTCAAGTTCATACTACATTTCAAAACTCAAGGTCTATTTGAATAGAATCAGGTTCGAGAAATCCCGATCGGTAATTCTGAGAAGGCTTATTATTTTGGCAAATGAAACCGGTTCTTATATAAACAATGACATTGTCTTTCATCAAGGTTGCCTAAAGTGATCCACAACATTGACATGCAACGACCCGCACAAATCCGTCCGAGATTTCTGTTGTTTTCTTAGTGTTGCTGCTTGCTGGACTGATTCGCTGAGATTTTTGTATTTTTTTGTGATTTGTTGTGTTTTCTGAGTGTGTGATCTGCCACTAAAGTGCATGTGCCTTGTGCTCGTTTGGGTCCAAGTTTGTATCCTTGTGCTAACACTGTTTTTTGCGCTGTGTTTTTCTATAGCTGGTTTAGAATGGTAATGAGAATAGACACATGGACAAACCCGAACATTGGCAAAAGAAGAACTTGCCGAAAACTCTAGACGTTTAGAGGTAGTTATAGAATTTGGTGGGGATTGGTAGACCTTTTTCAGCAACTTGGGGCGGTCCAAGTAAACCTAGTAGGCTCGGGGGAAAATTCCAGTGACTTCCAAAATGTTATGAAGGTCTAGGGCCTATACATAGACTACTGGGGTAGATTCAAGCCCTGGGGTTTAGTTGCAGGCTGTAATACTATTCTCGCCAAAAGGCAGTAACTTCCAGGTTTTTGGCACCACGGGAGGCCGAGCTATAATGAAATTCAGCCAAGAGTCACTGGTAGGAAAAAAGTATATCATTAGTTGCCAAGAGGAGTAGGGCCTTTTTAGTTCATGCTTCAATAGTCAAGCCATGAGGCAGCTTCGGCGGTCACGAGCCCGGTGAGCCGATGGGTCGAAGAAGAGGGCGGAGCTGACTTTCACCTGGGCTATGGTGGAAGAAGCCAAGGTGGCCAAGGAAG